ATTTTATTTTGCAGTATTTTTATTTTTCTATATTAATTAATAAAATTTTTTTTATATTTTTTTATTTTCATTTTCTATTTCATTTTATTTTTTTTATTTTTTTTTTTATTTTATTTGTATTTATTTTATCTTAATTGAAATTATTTTAATTTATCCTAATTTTTTCATCTGCATCTATTTTATTTAATTTTATTATTACATTATTTTATTTTGCTTCATTTTCTTTTATTTTATTTATTTTCTTTAAATATTGTATATTTTAATTATTTGCTTCCGCCGTTTTTTCCAAATTTAAAACCTTTATTGCGAAAAAGTGCTGACAGATATATTACTCAAAGTATTGTCCTTTGCTAGCGACAACTGTCTCCCAACTTTCCGGCAAATTTCGGATCCCGGCTCGAAAAAAGGAGTCCTCTTTTGACGCTATCCATGAAGCAATCCATTTTTCCAATTCTTCGAAGGATGGAAAATGTTAATCTGCCAGGCCGTGTGCCATCGAACGGAATAGGTGAAAGTCATAAGGGGCGACATCTGAAGAATACGGCGGGTGGTGCAAGACCATTTCCCATTTCAGCGTTTCCAGGTACTTTTTGACCACTTTTGCGACGTGAGGCCGAGCATTGCCGTGTTGGAGGATGACTTTGTCATGCCGCTCTTGATATTGAATCATGCCCAGGGCCTTGTGACGTTTTAAAATGGCTTGCTGACTCACTCCCAACGATTCGGCAAGCTGTTCTTGGGTTTGGCACGAATCTTCATCAAGCAATGCTTCTAGTTGTTCATCTTTGAAGGTGTTTTCTCTTCCACCACCATGTTTGTCTTCGACATCGAAATCACCATTTTTAAAACGTTGAAACCACTCCCGACACGTTCTTTCACTCAGAGCAGCATCACCGTAAGTTTCTGAGAGCATTCGATGCGCTTCAGCTGTTTTTTTTTTCGAATTGTAACAGAAAAGTAAAACTTCTCGCAAATGGCGAGAATTTGGCACATAAACGGACATTTTCGAGCGTGAATAATACGAAAACAAGAACAACTGTCACTGAAACGGCGATGACAATTCGTTAGGCATTGTCCACACTCACTTTAAAGGCATTATCATCTATGTATTTCAACCAGCCTCAGCCGGTACAGCCACCTATCGAAAAATCGGCGGAAGCAAAGCTGTACACCTGATATTTTCTTTTAGCATATTAAAATTTAATTTATTCAATTTCGTTTATATTTTCATTTCCTTAATTTTTTTATTTTCCTTATTTCTTATATTTTTAATTCCTTTTGCTTTTTATTATCTTATTTTAGTTTATTTATTTTATTTTATTTTATTTTTTTTTGTAATTTAATTATATTTTTTATTTCAGTTTACTTTAATTAAAATTGATTAATTTAGTTTATTTAATTTTTTCATATCGCTTATAAAATTTTATTTGAGTTTATTTCATTATATTCTAATTAATTTAATTTAATTTATTTTTTACTTTATTTATATTCTTCTGTTCTATTTTATTTTGCTTTAAATTAAATCGTATTATTTTCTTTTATTTTGCAATTTCTTAATATTATTTCATTTTATGTTTAAATTTTTTATTCTTTTATATTTTATTTATATAATCTAAATTAACTATATTAAATTTTTGAATCTGCTTTACTTGGCATTAATTATTTAATTTTGTTTGTATTTAAGTTTATTAATTTAATTTAAGTTTATTTAATTTTATTTTAATTAATTTATTTTTTTTTTCAACTTTTTTATATTATTTTATTTTAATTTATTTTATTTTTATTTAATTAAAATTTTTTTTTATACTATTTTATTCAATTATTTATTTTATCTTATTTTGTTATATTTTATTTTATTTTATTTTATTTTATTTTATTTTATTTTCGTAGCTCTGCCTTACTTCCTTTTTTGTATTGCATTTCATTTATTTTCTGTTGGACTTTTCTCGGCGTATTTTTTTTTTGTCTTGTTTTTGTCCTCTTTCTTTCATAACAGTAGCGCATTCGCTCAACTTTTCCCCAATCACAGCCAACAGTGTGCGTTCGTAAAAAATATTTTCATAGTACATATGTGTTAAATTATTTCCGTTCCATCCGGTCCATCCCAAAGCCTGCTATGGGATTTGTTGAGCCTCTATGAGTTTGCTTACTTTTACTTCACTGGCTTCGCTCGTGCTCCTTCCCCTCCAACTACTGCTGTTGCTACTTTCGTATTGTTCCTGCTGCTGCTGTTGTGGAAGGTCGTCGGTTCGTTTTATACGCAGCGCACCGTTGAAAGTTGCCACGAATTTTGTAGCAATACAACATAGTATGTACATATATATGTAGTATATTATGAGCGTAATATTCAGACGATTCGCTATTAAAATGAATATTCATTTAAACACAAAATATGTTTCGAAATACGTGCGCTGTTTGTGCAATGGCTTTTCTCGGCTGCAAAGATACATATGTACATGTGTAGGTATGTACTTGCTAGCTAGTTATTAAAGTAAAATTGAAAGCAGCAATCTGTATGCGTTTGCTCTTTAGCTTCGTTTTGTATTAAAATTGAGTTTCATTTCGGTGTTTTAAGCAAGAAAAAGCGCGCTCGAGCGCTGTTCGGCGCTTTTAAGTATATTAAATTATAGTTAGTCGGGTTGCTTGCGTATATATATATGTATATGCAATTAAATTAGCATATCATTATGTGCAGTTAAGTAATGAGATTGGCTTTTTTGTTGCTTATGAAAAAAAAATTAATAAAAATGATTCTATACATTACATTTACCTCACTATATAAAATTCCTCGTATTATATAATGTAGCCACAAAGTAATATTATATTATATTGCATAGCAGCACCTGTTTGTCCGTGCAGCAATATTCGTATTATTACCCAATTTAGCATTTGACTGCTGGTGATAATCACTTGGTTTCCGTTTATTGGATTATGATGATGTCGAGTGATCTTAATGGCTAAATAATAAATGCCAAATGTGCTGCCTGTTTATGCGAACAATGAAGATGGGCCACAATGAAANTATGTATGTATGTTATTATTATTATATACGTATGTCAAACGAGAGAACATCAATAATTTTATATTTTTTTACTAAAAATTTTTTGAGGCTATAAATTTTACTATATAGTAAACATAACAAAACACTGTATAAAAATTTAAACAAACCAGTTATGGATGAGCATCATGTTGTTTAAATAGTTTTTTTTTTTTAATAAAAAAATTTTTTTATGAAAAAAAAAAATTCGAAAAAGGCACTTTGTGGACCTTATTTAAAAGAAAAAAAATTGCCAAAAAAATTATAATAAATATGTATGTGTATTTATGATAGAAATATTTTATATTGTATACGTATATATAACCATAGTTCAAGCAAATATAATTAACGTAGTAAGTTAAGTTTTTCAAAAAAAAGCTATAATTTTTTATTCCATGAAATCTTAACATCTTTGAAATATTATCTGATAATTAGTTTCTGATTTTAAAATTTTCGAGTTATTCGACAACTAACAAAGGGCACGTGATATTCTCTTTTGTTATCTCTCAGCCTGCTGTATGGTTTTTTACGGTTCATGATGGAAGTTTGTCGACTGCCAGCTCATATATATACATACATACATATATAAGTACATCCACTGAGCATTTTGTATACTGCTCGCCTGGTTTCCTTTCATTTTGTCATTGTAATCACAAACATTTTCAGTTGCATTCCCTGTGTTATTATGTCTTCATTGTATTTCTCCACTTCAATATTTTACATTTTTCTTTATTCGTATTTCCTTAAATTTATTTGCCGTATTTTTTTTTTGTCCGAATTTTTCAGCATATTTTGTTTTAACCCTACTCAACTTTATACTCGAGGCTATTAAGTTTTTCTACAGAAATGTGCTGGAATTAGAAAAATATATTATCTTCGAAATAGTGCTTGTTGAAAGCAAAATTTATTTCCACAAGAAGCATCTGTACTGATTTTTTTGCTAACAAACATATTCCTATCATAATAGCTGTTACTATGAACATGTCTTTTAGAGGCTTATTATGAGTTCCCCAATCGATCTCACCACAAGAGTGGTCTTCCCCAGCAAAAAGCTATTTATATATCAAATTTTAAGTAAATCGAACCATAAAGATGATTCATGGAAAAGATCAGTTCCTAGCCGTCTTCTAGCTACCTACGTACTGAATTTGAAGTAAATAATATTTTTTCAACTATTTAAGTGGGTCTTAAGTGGGTCCTCTTTCCGGAGAGAAGATTAGTATTTCTGTTATTCTAAGCAAAATGTCATATTGTGCGGAAGTTGAAGTAAATCGAACTAAAAATAAGATATTTCCAGGAACTATAGAAACAGTCGAACAAAATTTCATGTCAATCGGTCGGTAACTTTTGAAAAATTGCGGATTTTTGCAAAAGAACACTAGATTTATATACGAATATATATAAATAATGCTAATTCTAAACCCTGTCAAACACACACTTCTTGCGTAGCTAGAGTTAAAAATTCAACAAGTTTTTCTTTTATTAATTTTATATGTCATTTTGTATTAATTTTACATAATAATAGCTCTAAATATCTTTCTCCATTAAGTTCACATGCACATGCACATATAAACATTAATGTATTGGCAACAAATTTTGGTATTAACTTTGAATCGTAATTTTTTTGCTGGCATACACAAAATGCAAGAATATTAACTTTTGCTTTAGTCGGCGGCATATTCTTTTGATGTCTGTTTTACGCGCGCCATTTAAATATAAATTATTAGTATTTAGGCGATGCAGACATATATAATTAAATAGTAATAAAAATATCCTTAATATTATATAAAAGGGAATAGATGGCATGGCGTATACGTAACATTTTTGTAATTTAGTCTATATGAATTTATAATTATAAGTATGTATGTATATACTTGTATACTGAAACTTGTAGCCATGAAAAACTAAATTTTATTTTTTTAACATTTTATATTAATTAATATTATATTTTTTCTACTTTCAGATTGTTTCGCATAACATTTATTTTATTGTGGTGAGGCAAACATTTATTTTTCGTAAATTAGAAAAAAAAATTAAAAATACATATTATTTTCAACCAATTACTATAAAACTGTATTTTGTAAGAATTGTTCTAATAATGAGTTAATGATTGGATTTATTAATTTCAAAGGAGCGTTGAACTAAATATAAATCGATTTTTATTGCAATTTAAAGTATTAAATTAAAAAATAAATTAATAAATTTAAAAATAAATATAATAAATATTTTTACAAACATAAGCTCATACACATGTTTACAAAATATTAATTATTAGCTTTTAAAAAATTATTAGCTGTTCAAAAAGTTTAATTTTCAATTAAAAAGGTTATTTTTTTTTAAGTTTAAATTTTATCTAATTTTTCATCTATTTCTTCAGTTTCTTTTAATTTTTTTTTTTTGCTTCTTAAACAATTTCTTTTCTCTATTTGGCATAAAATAGTCAAATCTTGCTGCTACCGTTGTTATGCATTTTAATCGACAAATTTTTGGGAAAATTAGAAAATAAATAATATGCAAATTTCAAGCTGCTGGCCACTAGCTCAAAAGCTTGCATTGCAAGCAATGCTTTGGTGTAGAATGCAAAAGAGCATATGCACGAAATAAATGCGTATAAATTGTTGTTGTATACGAGTATGTATATAATACTGCTGGTGCAAAAAATTTACGTTCTTAATTTGAAAAAGGATGTGGATACAATAATTGCCTCACTTTAGGCTACTTTTGTGAGTAGGTATTTAGTTTTTTCACACTTTTTCTCAATAATTTATTATTTTTTTATGATTGTTGTTATTTAATATTTATTTATAATTTATTATAAATTTTTAAGAAAATTGTATTATTTTAATAAGAATAATATGTTATAATACTAGTCTAGATAACTGAAAATAGTTTGATTTTTATGTGGTTTAAATATAGTATTCCCTTGAAAAAGCTTATGTGTTTTGTAAAAAAATAATATTAAAAAATTTATTGTTTATGCAAAATATTAAAAAAAATAATTATTTTTTAATATAAAAAGTGTGAGCGTGGATTGTACACAATTATATGTGTTTATTTCTAAGTCAAAAAGAATGCAATTATAACTTCCTTTGGCATGATAATTGTATAGTGTAAGCCAATGAAAGCCTCCAAAACCTGTCGTATTGTCCCAAAAAATTGTAAACAAACTTTTATCATTTTTATTCTGTTTCGGTATTGCAGCCCAACTATCTGCTTTGTTTAACAAAATTAATTTTCTTTTCTTCATTTTGACCCTAAAATTTATTATCATAATTACCTCACACTCATAAGTTCCACCGAGCTTATCTTTATAACCTCACAAACAGTTTTCTACAATTTATCTGCAAATAACTACTTCCAGCTTTACTCTCATGCAATAAGCATTTATGGGTAAAAGCGAAAAATAAAATATTTTTTATTATCAACAGAGAAAGACAAAAATTTGACTTTTACACACAGTGCTGATGTCAATAGTAATATAATACGTTTGTGGAATATTTTCTGGACAACACCCAAATTACAAAAAAAGAAGAAATTATAAAAACACATAAAAAAATAAATAAAAGCAAAAAAAAAAAAAAACGAAGAAAATAAATTTGCACAGCTTATTTGATCAATAAAATAAGCACGTAGTCACTTTTGCTTTTCATATGGTTCATTGAACCTGACTCACACACACATGCATGAAGTGTAATTTACCGTTGAACCGTTAAATTCAATATTAGTATTGCATAAATGCTATGAGAGAATGTCTATTGCAATAATCAATGAACCAAATTACTACACATACACTGTGACACTCTTACACACACACGCTCACACTCACTGAATTGCAAAATCAAATCAGGAAAAATGTCAAAAACATACCAAAACAACCACTCATACACTTGACCTACCACAATTTTCAACCAAAATTCACTCAAAACCTCAAAACTCATTGGAGCAATAAAAAAAGAAGTAACAACAACAAAAGTTCATTCATATGTCAATATGATGGCATGATACTCGTTTGTATATGTGTGTGTATATATACATATTTAAATATTTAATACTACAACTACTACAAATAGTAAAGTAAGTGAAGAGTAAAGAAAAAAAAAAATAGTGGCAAAAAGCCATATTGCAAGTCATATGTAAATAAAAAAAACTAGTTACTTACTCGCTATTAAAATCAATTTGCATACATCACGTACACATTTTCGATTATTTAATACAATTTCACACTACCATTGAACGACGGCGCGTTGGGCGTACAAGTGTACGAAGTACGCTGCTTTGTACGCTCACTGACTCCACAAGTACGCGCCAACACTTGCTGGTTGACTGCTTGGCTTAAATATGTATGAACTTGTGTGCAAATATTTAGAAATGTATATATGTAAGTATGTGTCCATGTATGTGCAACTGTTAGCCTGCCCATACGTGCATGTCACACATACTATACATACATATGTATCAATGTAAGCATATATTTACATGTGCCACGCCACCGGCTTTCAACAACGGCAACAACGGCAGCGATAGCGACAGTGGCAGTAGCCAAAAATAAAAATTATACTTTCTGCGCTGCGCTCTGCGCTGCGCTAGGCTGGCGGGAATACGTGTAGCAAATTACTACTACTCGCCAAATAGAATTTGCATATTTTGGCCTGCATCAACGCATCAACGGCAGAGGCACATACAACAAGCAAATTGATACACCTACATACGAATATGTTAATAAATTTATATGTAATTTGGGATTCGGTTGCATGCGGGGCGACAATATTTTATAATACATATGCATTAGGTTGAGCTCAAAAATTTTATTACTCCTGCAGCTTCACTCTTCATCAAGTGGTTTTAGAAGAAATAGTAAATATTATTTTATTAAAATTTTTGGTCCTTTTTATTTTATTTTATTGTTATTGTTTTATATTTATTTAATTTTATTTATATTTTAATATTTCATTTTTTTTAATATAATTTATTTTATTTTAATTAAATTTTTTTGCAAATATTTTATTTTATATACATTTTAATTTTTTTAATTTGTTTTTATTAATGTAATTTATTTGCAAATATTTTATTTTTTTATTTTATATACATTTTACTTTATCTTCTATAATTTAATTTTGTTTTTTATTCGTTTTATTTAAAGTGATTAATTTATTTTATTGTATTTTTTTAATGTAATTTGTTTTGTTTAATATTATTTTTTTTATTTAATTTTATTTCTTTTAAATTTTGTAATTCAATAAAAAATTGCCATATTAACAATTTTAGTTTTAATCTATTTTATTCTAATTTAATTTAATATTAATTAAAATTTATTATATTGTCACTTTTTATTTGTTTTTTTTTTTGAAGTTATGAAGTTAATTTAATTTTTAATTTCATTTTAATTCTAATTCTAATTTATATTTTAATTTACATTATCCTATTTTGATTTAATTGTAATTCAAATTATATTTAATGCTTTATTTGAATTTTGATTCAAATATAATTAAAATGAATTTTATTTATAACATTCTTTTAAACTCCAATTTAAAGTTTTATTTATTTTATACAATCTTAATTTAATTTTAATTTAAATTTAATTGATATTTTATTTTAGTTTATTAATTTTTTTAAATATTTCCCATAATATACCTGTGTTTTAATATTATTTTTTTTAATATTATTTTTTATATTTTTTTGTATGTTTTGATTTTTCCTAATTTAGTTTAATTATTATTTTTTATTTAATTTAATTTTTATTTGCTTCTTGCAAATTAGCTTTTAGTAAATTTTACTGTATATTGTTTACGTTTTTAACATTTGTATTTATTTACTGAATCTTCTTCAATATCAGAAGCTTCACAATGAGTTATCAAATATTGTTTAATTAAATTGCATTTTGTTTAATATTATGTCGTTTTATTTCCATTATTTTAACTATTTTATTCTTATTTTTTATATTTATTTATTACATTTTATCACTTGTTATTTTGATTTATTTTATATTTTTTACTTTATTTTGTAGTTTATTATTTTAATTTATATTAATTTGTATAAATTTATATTATTTTAATTTTTCCTTTTTTAAATTTAATACAAATTTTTATTTTTATTTTCTAATTTTTTTTAAACAAAATTTGCACACTAAAACGCTCACCCTAATACATATTTTGACATTAGTGCCCTGTTTGTTTTCACTTTCTGCTCTACCGCTCCGGTAGCACTCACCGTATGCCTTCACTTCCGCCTTGCCATGCCTTGCCATGCCTAGGCGCGTCTGCTTGTTTTTGTTTTCATATTTTTTTCAGTTCTATTTCTCTTCGTTTATTTGACTATTTTCGACTAAATATGCAAAAAGTGGGTCACACACAGTTTGCCGCCTTAACTGATGCCACCAACAATCGCGGCGGTTGTCATCGCAACAATCCAGTAGTGGTGTGTATGCGAACAACAAGTAAGCGACCTCTCCTATTGCCAGCAGCAACAAAAATACGGTACGCTTTCGACAGCAACATTGTGGGTAATCACTACACCGGCAGATGAACTAAAAAAATGGAAAAAATACAAAAAAAAAAAATAATACAAAGCGCGGCACACACAAAGTATTCCACGTAAATGCATATCTAGATACATATATGCCGCTCTTCATGCGGGCGTGTTTCACGTGTTTATGTCGTCGCAACAGCATAACAAATCCTTTTTGACACGCGTTCGAAAACACTTCGTCACTGCCAAGCAAAGCTTTTGTGTAGTTTTTCTAAATTTTTTATTTTTTTTTATGGTACCCGTACCCCTTGCTTTTGATTCTAATTTATTTTTCCACTTTCCATTTCATCCTTGTACATACATACATATGTACATTACTACTCGTATCTATGCGCTAGTGAATGACTGTCACTAGAAACGCCTCCACCAATTTGTCTTTCCATACACATGTATGTATGTATGCGACAGTGCAAATATTTATGCATATGCGATAGTGTTTACGAGTAAATGATTTTGTTGTGTGGCACA